ACATAACTGTCAATGTGCGTCATTTGACCTATCTTTTCTTCCAAAGTCATCCGGCTCATCAAATCCATTATTCGCACACCTATTGGTTGTTTTGGGTCTTTGTATTTCATGTGGGATTTAACGATGATAGCCCAAGAACATGTCGCCAACATGGCAAAAACACACAGATAAAGTTTCTCCATTTCTTATCAACTCAAGCACAAACTGCAATTGTCTTTAGAATGCAATAAATACTCGATCAAATTTGAACGTTAACTAGCAGGAAGAAAGGAACAAAGTGAACCAAAATAACAGAGACCATGAAGCTTTTTTTCCCGCCATTGTTGTGAATTCCTTAAACCAGTACCAAGTAGTTCGCACCAGAATCAAATTCCGAAACTTGAAGGTACATCATCAAACAAGATACAATCAAAACCCCAATATAAAAAATCAATCGAAACACAAAAGCACACCATTTGCACATCAAAGCCTCCTAGTTCTTGTAAGATTGTTCGAGAAGGAGAAGTAGAGAAAAAATAGGTGGAACTTACAAATTACCTGGCCTAGTGTAAATAGTATCTATTCACATTCATAAATGCATTGCATTTTTGGTCCTATGTTTATTCAAATATTTCGATTTTGATCCCAAATAATTTCGTCCTTCAATTTTGGTGCCTAATTTAAAAACTCAATACAACGTATTTTTATTTTTATTTTAAATATTTCAAACCTTCACCTCCTTCTTCATTCGAAAACATCCTGCAATTGAGTAACATAGAAACACATGATTTAAGCTCCATGACAACCTATGAAATATGTTTATGGTTTAGCACCCATAATATTATCCGGTGGCGGAATCATTTTAATCGGCTATTTTACAAACTAAGGGAACAATAAGTTAAAGCCCATATTGGATGGATGTAGTCAAAAGTCCAAGAACCCCCTAAACTATGAGTATAATATTTGTTAATCCCTCTACCCTACATACTAAATAGACGACTTCAAATTAACGAAAAACCTATTGGTGACTTTTCATTTAGATTTAAGAATCTTTGCTCCTATAACTGCTCTCTAAAGTTCAAATCTCATATTCAATAAGAAGGTTAGTTTATATATATATATATATATATATATATATATATATATATATATATATATATATATATATATATATATATATATATATATATATAGGTTCAGGTTCATTTAAGACCATTCTAATTTTGTGAGACCGTGAGACCAAATCTAAAAATAATTTAAAAATGCAAAATAAATGGAAAAATCTAAAAAAAAAAAATTTAAATATTATTTTCGGAACTTGAATTAACTAAAAAAAATAAAAAAATATATATAACAAAAATAAAAAAAATTCCGTTTTTTTTTTTTTTGAAAAATACGTGAAATATTCTAAATAGAATATTACACTGACATATTCTAAAAAATAATTTTAAAATGCAAAATAAATGGAAAACTCTAAAAATTCTTTTTTTAAATATTATTTTCGGAACTTGAATTAACTAAAAAAATAAAAAATAATAAAAAAAATTCTATTTTTTTTTTAAAATACGTGAAATATTCTAAATAGAATATTACACTGTACATATTCTAAAAATAATTTTAAAATGCAAAATAAATGGAAAAATCAAAAAATTCTTTTTTTAAATATTATTTTCGGAACATGAATTAACTAAAAAAAAAAAAAAAAATGTGTCTCACGGTTTCACAAAATATAGGTGGTCTCAAATGAACCTAACCTTATATATATATATATATATATATATATATATATATATATATATATATATATATATATATATATATATATATATATATATATATATTTGTAATTTGTATTTAATAATTTTGTTACCATTGATAATTTAATTTCTTACAATTATAGGATAAATCATGAGAAAAAAGAATCATGGATTGTTTTTCAATGAAAAAAAATGTTCATGAACCACAATTCTATCAATTGGTGATAATATTTGGAATAATGTTCATAATACTAAAAAAATGTTCATAATACATGCCTAGATAGTTAAGGAGCCAATCATAGGCTACATCATAAGCCCCTCTTATTCTAAAATTCTGGTTTCGCCCCTGATATTATCATCATGTACAAAAACAAAGCAAGATCCTCATTACTACTAATATCCATCATTACATAAAGCATTTAATGGTTCCGTCCCTGATATTATCATCGTATACAAAAACAAAGCAAGATCCTCGTTACTACTCATATCAATCATTACATAAAGCATTTAATGGTCCGATTAAACTGATTAATTGGTGCAAATATTGAAATGCACCAACAAATATCACATCAAAAACACCCCATTTAATGATGCGGGTATAAAACCGTACCTAAAAACACTAAAAATGATACCAAAAAATGATGAAAATATATCTTAAGACTGCACCAAAAAGAACCCGATTATAACTTCACCGATTAACAGGTTCGTCATTGATACAAAACTTAAGAAGTTCTTAGTTTTCTTGTATTTAGGTCTTTTCAGTGAGTGCTTTTTCAATCAATGGTTCAATAGTAATATATAAAAGTTTTATTATGAACTTTCCACCTCTAATTTCATCAACTTCGTTTTACTCAATCGCAAGTTCTTTAGAAGTTCCAATTGTTCCTCCTTCGATTTTAGTTTCTCTACAAAGAGTGGTTTCAATCTCCGCAATTTCCTTTTCTCTACCAATGAAAATTTGTTCTTCGGAAATGACATTTCATCGGTGTTTTTTTTAATATAAATAAATCGGCAACACCTTAAAACTTAGTTTGCAAAAACTCTCTCCGTACCCATTGAGTGAAAGTCATTGAAGCAACATTATAAGTCTTTGGATCCTTTCTTGGAGATATATCACCAAAAAAGAAGCGTCTGTAGATGTTCAAAATAAGCAAACAACATCGCTAAAACTTAAAACATGACATCCATTTACGATTAATTAGAAAAAATGGAGAGTCTCAAATGCAGTTAATGAAAATAAGATAAATAATGATGAACATACCTCATATGCGTTTTCGATCGTGGAATCGACAAATCTAGAAGTGTGAGGAAGGGATGCATCCCCAATGTTATATACATATAGAAGATTAAATGAAAATTTTGAACGAATTTGGAGGGATGTCAAGAGAAATGAATAACTTGAACCGATTTTTTAGAGAAAAGATTAATGATGCACTTTAAGATTTTTTGGTGCAAATTGTTTTTTGCTGCTGTATAGGAAACCGCACTAATAAATGTTTTTAATGGTGTGGTTTATTGGTTTATTGATGCGAAAATAAACTTTTTGTGTTTTAATGATGGAGTTTTATGTTACAACCGGACTTAAAAAAATCTCATAACACTATTAAATACGTTTTGTGCTAGTGATTTGGCCTCAAACTACATAATATCGTTTTTAAATTTATATATACTTTAAATATTATTCCTATATGTGTGATTGTGGATCCGACAACCAAAACAATATTGAATTTAAGTTTAATTAAGTAGAATTTAGGTGAGAGCTTGTATAGTAATTCAAAGTTAAAAAAACATATGAATTTGCATTAATATGGATCAAAATTTAAATAACCAAACAATTTAAATGCAATGTTTCATTTTGCTTAGTTGTGAAAATTGATTCACCTTTAACCCTACAACCGCTAGGCAAACTTAGTTGTGAAGATTGATTCACCTTTAATTTGGACCAGAATTTAAATAACCAAACAATTTAAATGCAATGTTTCATTTTGCTTAGTTGTGAAAATTGATTCACCTTTAACCCTACAACCGCTAGGCAGACCATGGGGTCTTGCTCTGTCATGTTCGCTGCTAGCCATTTTTATCATTGCTTTTTCCGCTTAGCCTTATTGGCATTTTTAGGTTAAACAAATTATATTTATTTTTCTTTAAACCCCTATAACTTGTATCATTGCAGTGAAGCATTTAACGACAAAAATAATAAAAATCTCTCTCGTGTTTGCCGTGAACATGGCTGATAATCCTGATCATATAAGCCACATAAATTGATTGTGTCTTGTTTGTTGTTTTGCATTTATTACTCCGTTGAAGAAATCATTTATCAATTGTTAAAGTGTTTAAACCCTAACGGTTTCATCAATATAAGTGTTTATTTTGAATTTTTTTTATGTCCAATAGTAATATTTGATTTCAGTAAAAATTTCCTACCACCGGTCTTTGGAGGATCCAAGTTGTATCCGGTGGTTTGGATTTATCCTATCTAGAATTTTAGTAATCGAATTAAAAGTTATTTAAATTATTTTCCAAATAAAAAAGTATATGTATTCGTATCCGTATCCGTATCTTGGTGCTTGCAATTTACTCGCAAGTCATAATGAGTCACTTTTTCTTTATTCTTCAAATCGCATGAGAAGTTGTATTTATATATCTATATTCTATATTATCTAATAAATGAAGATAACTTTGCGCCAAATGTCACATTTCTAAAGACATTATCTTTACATTACAGTGTATTACAACTCTCACTTTTTCTTTATTTAACTATATATTCAAATTCAAGTTTATTTAAAATGATTAAATGGTTTAAATGATAATAATGCCTAAAAATCGGACAATCCCTTAATATCTTTCCTCTCATATTTTAAGGAATTAGTGATTATACTAAGGATGTTTAAGAAAATAACGAAATTAAAAAATTAAGGATATATAAGCAGTTTTAAAAATTAAAATAAAATTTCCAAATATATTAAAAAACTATGGAAGAAACCCCGTTTTGCGGGGTTGGAAACGCCAAAGAAATGGACACTCTACAACTTTTTATCGAATCAACAAAAAAAAATGATAAATACATTAACAAAAATGAAACAAATCAAGAAACGATTAAATGATATCTTGTATAAAAAAATAAATAAAAAAAAAAAAAAAAAATGTATACACAATATTAGAAGGAGTCAAGGGCCAAGGGGAATGGGCTATAAACTAACAAAAAAATTAGTAATAACATAAAGTTACACACACCTTATAAGTCCAATCCTTGATATATATCTTCTAAATTTGCTTGGTTGGTTTGGTTGTAAGCCCATATCTGAATGGATACAACGGATCATAATGCGAATCACCAACATTCATTGGGAGCTGATCAACAGTCTTGAACCAAGTATGTGCTAGTTTGCCCGTAAAACCATAATCACCATACAGAACATCGGTGACACCTTGGCCTTCAGTCCCTGGAAGCCATGCAGCCACCAAAGCATCCATGATAGGAACATAAGGTTCGATCACAACAGGTCTACCTGAGATTAGGACAACAACACACTTCACCAATACACACACGTTCATGATGGTTGTGGGCCCAGGTTCTGGTATCGTTAGATTCTGGCTGTCTCCAACTGACTCCGAGTATGGGAACTCACCCGTTACCACAATGGCGTATGAAAAGTTGTTTGACTTGATAAAATCAGGAGTCGGGTTCTCTACATACAAGACTTGGGTTGTAGGGTCAACTATCTTTTTCACGGCAGATAAAATTGTCGTACCTATTATTTATTTCCATCAGGAAAAATAGTTACTTTCATGTAGCTTATTAAACTTAATACACATATAGAAAAAAGATGGCAACACAGATTGCATATATACCTCTTGTTATATTGCCACTTTTCCCACGCCATTCAATGGTCCAACCACCACACTGATTACCAATATCATCAGCATGGGTGCCCACTACCAAAATTTTAGTCGACATTTTTGGAAGAGGAAGCATTGGTTGGTTGACAAATTTACCGTTCTTTAGCAAGACTAAAGATTTCCTTACTGCCTCCCTAGCCAAATCTCGGTGATCCTATCCAAAAAATAAAATCATACTGTATTATCGATTGGTAATTAAAGTCTTCCTTCCAAAAAACGATGATTCCAACCTGCTCTCCAAGATATTTGGCCATGCTTAGATCTGTGAATGGGTTCTCAAACAGACCCATTACAAACTTGACGCGTAGAATCCTCTTTACTGCATCATCAATCCGATTGATTGGGATGAAATTATTCTTCACAAGGAAAGTCATCTCATTGATGAATTCAGTGTAGTTGGAGCCAATCATCGCCTGCAAAACTTTTGACTAAATAAAACAAAAAAGACAAAAGGTCTAAACTTATGTTTGCGTATTCATTATTCAACCCACCATGTCTATGCCAGCCGTAATGCTTTGTTGAACGGACCAAGTGTAATTAGCATGAGGCGGATCTGTCAGCCGGTCAATACCCATAAAATCTGAGATCACAAATCCCTACAAAACATCCAATAAAAAATGAAAACGTCTCTATGTATATGAAACCAAGATCTTAAAAAGAATAGGAGAAATTACTAAAAGACGAGTTTTGTAATTACTCTGAATTTGAGAGTGTTCTTTAGAAATCCAGTTATAAGTGGAACATTTCTATGCATTTTGACTCCATTCCAGCTTGAGTAAGAAATCATGATGGTTGTAACACCCTTCCGTACTGCATCAACGTATGGTGGCATATGAATGCTCAATAAACCATGGAAGTTTATGACTGTATTGTTCTCATTGATGCCTCTTGTCGTTCCACCATCACCCACGTAGTGTTTAGCGCAAGAGGCAATCTTTTCTCTGTAAAATAAAAAATCATAAACCCAATTAACCCACGAAATTAACGCTAGAAATAATCCTAGGGGGATCGAGCTTCTGATTAATCAATACTTACTGTCCGCCAACAAAAGGAACACCTAATCGACCATCGCTAGGAATGCTTCCTTGAAGTCCAGGTATGATCTCAGTCATGGCTCGAACAATATTAGGATCTTCACTAAAGCTCTCGAAGCAACGACCCCATCTTGGATCTCTACATACCGCAACACAAGGTGCAAAGGCATAGTTGATGCCAGTTGCTCGAACTTCAAGGGCAGTCGCAACTCCAATTTTCTTCACCAATTCAACGTCCCTATTCCACATGCCAAAAAGAAATCCCATTATTAAAGAAAAAAAAAAACTGTTTAAAAAGGATTCAAACGTTAAACAAAACAAACTTCCACTTGCCTAGTTACTCCAAGGCCAATATTATGTGGGAAAATAGTGGCATTGTAAACTCTACTATTGCCATGGACAGCATCAATTCCATACATAAGGGGAATACCCAAACGAGAAGACAATGATCCTCTTTGGAAATTGTTGATCATGTTAATCCATGCCTGCGGACTCGATGGGTCTTGAGATGAAGGGATCGCTGCATTGGTCAATAAACTCCCTACGGAAGATCCAAGACTCGTTAAAAAAAAATAAAAACAAAACCTTTAAATGGATTTTTAAAGTATTTAACACGAAAAAATATAGGACTAATTGATTTTGAAATTTACCTATTGAGTAATTCTGCAATACTTGTTGTGTTGCTACACGACTATCAATCTGTGTCATTTGACCGATCTTTTCTTCCAAAGTCATCCTGTTCATCAAGTCCCTTATTCGAACACCTAATGGTTGTTTCGGATCTTTGTATTTTATGTCGGATTCATCAACGGTAGCCCAAGTATGTATTGCCAGAATTGCAAAAACACACAAAAAAAGTTTCGCCATTACTTATCAACTTCAATCATATATACACTGCAATTGTTGATAAACACAATAAACACTTGATCGTAGTTGAAAATTTAACTTAAAGGAACAAACTGGACGAATAATTTGTTAGACACAAGGACCTCTTTGTCCGCCATTGATATGTAATCCATTTAACACGACCAAGCAGTTTGTATCATAATCAAAATCCAAAACAAGAACCAATATATATGCAATCAAAACACTGCTAATAATCATAAACCATTCGTAACAGAATGCACAAACATTTACCCATTTGAAAGATTGTACGTCAAAGAGAAATAAAAATAGAATGCGTGGAACTTACATGAATGGATGGAGTGGAACTCATTGGACAAGAGTAGGTGATATTTATAGACGAGTGAAAATTAAAAAAAGCAAACCCATTTAACATAACTTTAACTATTGCCATCAAACCATTTCTCAGATTACTTAATTTTATTTTTTTCCTTATCACTTCACTTAATACATGATTACGAAACGGAAGTGCTATGCATATATAGGTATTTTCAATTTTGGGCATTTTTGCTATTTTGAGCATTTTTGCTATTTAGTTTGTTACCGTGTAGTTTTTGAGGTGGATGGAGTCGCCTTCAAGGTCGTGGACCACTTCAATTGACATATCGACATGGGAAATTAGATGACCCTTTCATTTTGGAGATATTTCCTTATTTAAACCGTTATTGGAAACTATGCACAATAAAAACTTTAGTGGCCATTTAAAACTCAAAGATAAAAATTGGTTGGACTATAATGATATTATTATATAACTCCTTATTTTTGAGGTTATTTAAAGACCTAAAAAATTTTATGGTCTTTTGAGTTTAAACCAAAAGCTTTTTTTACCAAAAAACAACATAAAACTTTTTCAATCTTCTTTTCATTTTGCCCTGTTATCCGTTTACTAAGTCACGGTTGGGTAATAAATTTATTTTTCCGGAAAAAACCATCACCCTTTTCTAAAAAAAAAACATCCTTTTTTAAATTTAGGGAGACTTGTTTTTGCTTATAATTATCATATTCTTATTTTTGTTGCTGGTTATGATATTTTTGATGGTGAAAAATATATTCACCTTGTTAAAATGATAAAGATGGATATTCCATTTTATATGTGATTGTTTCATCCAATAAAAGCATATCTCCCTATTATTCTAATAAAAGAATATGTTTATTCTTTTTTTATTATATATCATCCTATTACGTCTCTTAATTATATCATGTCATTTGTCAATCTATTGATTTTTCATTTTAAATTTTAAAATTTTCATTCTAATTAAATTAAATTAAGAACATTAAAATTAAAATTAAAATAAAGTTAATACAGATTATAAGATCATATATTTATTTAAATCAACGATTATAACTTTATATAATAGAAAAATACCTCTTAATTATTAATTTATTTAAAATAATTGATTAATAATTTTGAATTTTTACTATAAAATTTTAATTTTATTTTATAATTGTGGTTCTCACAAGTTATCAACTAGTGTATGATAAAGAATCACGACATATTTTTTAACGATAGAAGAAAAGATTATTTATGTATGGAGTGGACCAAACCAATGATACATCAAATGATGACTAAACGGAACATTTTTACTTATAAGAAAAAGGTTACTCTTATTTTTGTTTCACAACTAATATGGTATAATAATAATAATAATAATAATAATAATAATAATAATAATAATAATAAGTTATTCTATTCATCCCGCATTGAATTTCTTATTAAAGCAAATAAGAGATAATGTAAAAAATATATTATTATGTATGATTTTTTAAGACCTAGGACATCAATATTATGAACAATGAAGGTTAGTAGTCTATTTGGTATGATTTCATTGGTGTCTTTGTCTTTTAAAAGAACATTTACTCGATCTCTTTTATTCTTTGAATCCTCTATTTAGTAACGAATGCTATTGAAAATAGTAACTGTGAACGATTGCTTGAGGTGGATTGATCAAGAAGAGCAGAGAATCGGCATGGCCGAATATTGGAGCCATGTATTCCATGCATGTTTCAAATGGGTAACCTACCTAGTGCAAACATACCTGGTTTGAATTCTTTGCATTTATAGCGAAACAAAGTCTCGTGTAATTACCTTACCTAATGCACCCAATTGGTCGATTTGAGTTCCTCACGATTATAAGACAAACAAACTCTCACGTATCAAATCAGTTACCTACTAGTGGACCCAACTGCCAATATAGGAATTTTGAGTTCCTAAGTCTCGTCTTGTTGTCCTCTATATATATCCAATATACGTCCTAATGTTGTGTTCGTTTTTAGAAATAACTTTTTTTTAGCCCAAGCATACTCCTTTCATATTCTTTGTCTACCTTCATTAATTCTCATCTCTCATTTACTTTCCGTGTCTTTCTTTCTCTTTCCCCCAAAACAATCACCAGCCAATTACCATTAGTGTTCTTCAAGATTTTATTTTCATGTTTGAAGTAGGCTCTTTCTTTAGCTTTATATAAATCATTTTTAGCTTGTTTGGATTTTCAGGTTTTGATGTCGTTAATGTAGGTAATATATTTTGGTTTAGTTAATTCCCCTACTCTTCTTCATCCAACTTAATAAAGCAAGAATCTTAAATTGGATGTTTCTTTCTATCTAGCTTATTTTTTGCTTTCTTGTACTGTGCTTTTTTTCATTTACGTGCCCTAATGTCTTTCTTTTTACCATATTCATGCAATCTTGTTGCATGTGGATTTTGATTTGCGTGCCCTATTGGAACTTGTGTGGCTTCATCTTTAACATCTCCATTGTTAATTAGCACCTTGATTAGGTTTTAAAGTTGTACAATCATTGTATTTAATGTCATAGATTCGGACCTGTTCAACTATTTTTGTTAGGACCAGTCAAACTTCGAACTTTATTTGGACCGGATTGAATTAACTAGCTACCTGAACGTTATTTCTCGTTGTCTTTCTCTTTTTTAATAAATAAGAGTGTGTTATAACTTTTGAAATGGTTCTTATTGTTACCTGTAATAACACACGCATAATGTCATTACAAAAAAAAAAAAAAAAATGTCTTCGGGCATGATTTTTTTTAAGAGTATCCACAATGGTAAGTTCAATGGGAGAGTTGAATGAGGTAGCATCGTTCATGTGTTATTCAAAGGATGAAACTCAACCATTGTGAGATGTCACATTGACATTCAATGGATTTGTAGTTTAATGGCCATTAAACTCTTCAATGGGAAAAAGGAAAATAAATTGCATTTTGTAACATTCTATTGAACTTTGTAAAGTTTAATGCATTGTGGAGAAAAATATAATAGAGTTGTATAGATTGTAAAATGATAATGTGGTAATCCATTAAACTCTATGGAGTTCAATGCATTGTAGATGCCCTAAGTACGAATCAAATGTCTTCCAAAAATAAATTAAATCAAGTACGTGGATGTATATTTAACAGAATTTAGATGAAAGAAATATAGAAATGTTTAAGCTATAGATATGATTGGTTGGATCAATGTTGTTAAAATGTTTAACTACAAGAATTCATTTTAGTTAAATATAGTCTTATTAATCAATTTTAAAAAATGTTAAATTTAATTAATGAGTGCATTCCCTTTGTAAAAGTGCTTCCCAACAATGTTTAATCCCTTTCATAGTCTCGAAGGGCTTAAACATGAAATGCAAATCTACAATGAAGATTAACTTTAAACAAGAATAAATTTATTGTTTATTACAAAGTTTTAATTCCTAAAACAATTATAGATTCTAAAATTAAATAACTTTACAAGAAAATCGACTAATTTAAGTTGCTAACATGAATTAAGAAAGAAATCAATATTTTAATACGAACAAAACATGCATTACTAAACTCAATATGTTTCCAATATAAATTCAATGTATTTAAATACAACTGAGACGAATTAAACACATAAAAATAAAAAATTATGGTGAAGATGCAAAGCACGAATACAATGGATTCTGATGGAGAGGCAAACAGTGATACACATGAGGAGAAAGAAAGAAGTTAGAACTTAAGAGCATGAAGTGATAAAAGCAGGTAACAGTTTGGTAGATAGCCAAAAAAAAAACCTGATAAAACTAACGATTGGTGATTTGTGATTTTTACAAAATGTGAATCGGAGGTAAACGTCGTTGATAAAATTCGACGATTTGCAGAGAACCCTGCATCTGCATCGTTTCTTTGATCCTCAGTTGCCTCCCAAAGACCAAGTCAAAAGGCCATAAAGGAATATGACAATCTGGTATTTTTCTAGCGGGTTTGTATTAATGGACTGTTTGGCTAATGCAATTGATTTTGTTAGTGGGTTACCATTAATCTACTAGTTTTTGTTTCAAAAAACATTTGTTTGTTTATTTCGTTTAATAAGTTATTACTTGTGACATCCATATATTATATTATATTAGTTAATTTATAGAAAAAAAATAAATATAAATATCAAAATATTTTGGAATTTTAAATTTATTAGAAAATAAGAAAAATAATAAATATTTATAATGAAAATGTTTTTTATATTTTTAAATTTAAATAAACAATTTAAATAAAGAAAAGAAACTAATGAGCTTTAATTTTGGGAATTTTGAAATTCAAAAACAAAACTGCACAAATGATCCATGTGGTTAGCTAAAAATTGTCACTTTGATCCAAAATTTTTTGGACTAGCACCAGAAGTCCAACTTTCATTTTGTTGAAAATTTGGTTCGATTTGCTTTGAACTTTTTTATAAAGACGATTTTGCCCTTGGTTTTTGCATTTTTTTTAGTTTTTTTATTTATTTAAATATTTTTTTGATTAAAAGAAAATTTTTTAAAAATTAAAAAAGCCAAATCTCTCTCTTTCTCTCTCGATCTCTCTCTCTCTCTCTCTCGATCTCAACGATTGTTCAAGAACAACAGATACAAGCAAAAACACATTCCCCTTTCCCTTGGTCATCCTCCCTGCAACTCAAACCCCCCAATAATCTTTCTATTTTGGATGAAAACAATTTATGAGCTACATCTTCTCCAGCCCAACACAAACTGAACTCGCATTCTGTTGTCGTATCTCCGCCCAATCTACCATTTACCCATTAATCGGCTCCGCCCATTTTCCTCTTATTGGTAGATCAACTCAGATCGACTTCCACCTCTACCCACAAACCTTGGATTGCAGAGTAGAAAGCTTATTTCTCTATTCAAAGTGAGCCACGAAGATTAGTTTGAAGTTCAAATTGGAGATATCGATACTTAAATCTTCAAGAAGCTTCATCAGGTTACCATTATGCCCCTCACCATGAATATGTTGAACTATTGCTTGATTTATTTAAACCCTAACTTTGCACCATTGTTTG